TCTATCGAGGAGCAACTGAAGTAGGCTTATTGTTCAATATCAAGAAGAGCGTGACCGATATTGCTCATTCTATCTGTAGAGGACATTGTTCATGCCGCTGTCATATACGTAAGTGATGACGACTCGACTATATTAAACTAAGCAGCCACCGATATATAATTTAGTGTTGATTATTTAATTTCATTAATTTTTTTCAACAAGCACAATGAGGTGTATACTTCGTCGCTTAGTTGATCTTTATCGTTCTGGGTTTGGTCTTCATGACTTGCGACAGGCGTGGGTCTATGATTTGTATTAGATCAATTGGGGTATTTCTTAGGCGTCTGTCGCTGATGGAATGAATTTATGCTGATGGATAGTGACCTTTCATTCAATTCGAGTATTAGAGCGTGAATGCTCGGGATTCTCCGGACTTACAATACTAGCCGCACTCTTAGTTTATTGATCACTCCGTACATGTCAGCCACGCCCACACTTGTTGGTCGTGTCTTGGATATCTAGCATAGATTTAGTCTGAAGTGGCAGATGGGGTCGACGCCGAGTAGAACCTTTGTATAGAGCTAAATGCCGCTTTAGTGATTTTGTATTATCTTTGAATGTACTTTCTTCGTCTATTACTGGTGAATTTATATATGTAATGTCTGCATGATTTTGCGGTACAGGATCTCCCGTTTATGAGAGTTTTGATCTTACTGATCCTTTTTTTTATAATTTGGCCGCCCTTCTCTGGGAATTATAGTCAGGTACTGCTGTTACACGTAATCTTACGCTATCATGTGGGCTCATAATAGATTTATTCTTGATATATTTTATACTTGTTAGTGATCACATTTAATCAATCTTATTATTTAATATGTACTATGTTAAATGTACAGATGGAGTACCCTTAGAGCGACATTCGACGCCTGTTATATAAATTTAAAACACTGTTCTATAGCGACTTCAGATAGCCTAACATATATTTCGCACTATGCTTATAGCACATCTTAGCTTATCACTGTCACTAGTATATTGCATACACTCACTTCCTATTATATACCTCTATATATATTAGTATATACTATATATAAATTGTAAATGTTCCGATTCACATCCATTACAGATCTTTTAATAGTATCAAAACTCCGATTAAAGACCTAAAAACGTCATTATCTTCTAGTACTATATATAATATACATAATATATAGATTTAACATGTAAACATATATAATATTATTTACATATATAGTTAATACACATAGCTATATATATGTATAGTTATATATACACTTATATATCATATTAATATATATATATACTATATATATAAAATATATGCCTTATTAATGGTGTGATATGCAGTTGTCATGTATGGTGTTGTATGTACATATATATAGTAATTATATATATATATATATATATATATATATATATATATATAATATATATATGTATATATACAATATATGTATATATACATGTATATGTATATATATGTATATATAGATATATATATATATATATTATATATATATATATATATATAATACATACATACATATATGTATATATATGTATATATATAGTATATATATACATTATACACATATATATATATATATATATATATATATATATATATAGATATATAGATATATAGATATATATACACATACACATACATATGTGTGCGTGTGTGTGTGTTGTGCGTGTGAGTGTATACATAAATACACACACACAAATATGAATATATATTCATATGCATATATATATATCTTTGCATTCATATGCACATATCTGTATCAATCTATCTACTTATATTTTATTTTACCTGTGTTCAACGGACATCATAAATAAGAATAAAGGAATAGTAACTAACTGACAAACAATTCAGTCGAATAAATATACCGAGTAAGGAAATAACACTGATATAACTACTATAATAATAACTGCTATAATGATAATTACTGCGGATTGTTGAAAATGCAATGGAATGTATGGAAACCTCAGCTGGCATAATCCGTAAATATATTAACCATCGAAAGCATTAGGAAAAGAAATCGACTAAACTCGTACAGCCACGCGAAGGTGAGTCATATGAAGCACTCATTTTATCGGCAAAACGTATGTGATACACGAATCTTGCGCCACGTTATTTAAACTTTTCTTCGTTACCGATGTCTCTCTTGAGGAAACTATTATATCATTAAAATACAAACAATATTTCGATTTCTTGAAATTTATCATACACACTGATCTAATACGTTACATAAGAAAAACAAATATTATACTTCTTTTGTTGAAAATTCGCTTTCTCAGTGTTTGTTAGCAACGGTTAGCGATACCTGGCACGCTGGCGGAACATCGATTCTTAAGCGCCGCGTTCCTCTGCCTGTTGCAGTTACGACTCGATCTCAGAAGAGGTCGCGATGAACGTAACCGCCAGGTGAGAATGCCTGTTCGAAGTTGCTCAAAAGGAATAGGATCATATCAATTCCATAAAGCTGTAAACAACATTTGCACTTGAGGTTTTCAGCAGGCCTATGGTTATGAATTTAATGTAGCACAGTAAAGATCCCAGGATGACTTAGATTGATATTATATGTCCTAGTACATGTTTAGGATACTGTGCAGTATTTTGTAGGAAAAACTCGTTGGTCACAAAAAATCAGGAATATATTGAAAGTAACGTTTTTACGCGTGAAAACTTGTCATATTTTAGCACGGACTTTGAACAAGTATTACATTATCATTATATTGCTTTACAGTTGCGAGAAGTTTCAGAGGCGACAGGGGCGAGGGGCACTTGCCAGTGCCTGCCCCTGGTAAGAAGCTACGGCTCTGTACCAGGGGCAGGTACCCAACCTACCGTCCCCGGACTGACATATGGCAACTCGACCCCTGAACGGATCTCGGACTGTCCCTGGCGACTAACCCCTGCCAGGCCCCCTTTCCCTTCCACCTCCAGGAGCAAACGTCAGCCGAACATCTTTCCTGTCAGCTCTGCAAGCGTTCCTTAGCCTTCTGATACAACCATACCTAGACGCGACTAGCCCGAAGGAATCAATGAGTTTTCTAGACTATTGGCAGTTTGTTGACGTTTAACTCCCGGAATGACGATCTCACTTATGTTGCACTGTATTTTGTTCCATCGTTTACACATTGCAATCAGAAGTTGATTGCATTCAAGCATCCATTCTACCAGAGCTGCTCTTCCTCCCCTCTCGGCAAGCGATGTCTCTTGATTCAGTTTTAACTTGTTGCTCTGAGCACTATGTTGTATTTTAAAGCACAATATATTGTGCCGATGTGTATGAGGCTATACAAACTTTTTCAACTAGTCGAATAAAATTATATTTTGATAAATGTTAGTTTAAACCGAACCCTGACCTAACTGTATTGAAAATGAAAAATATTTAATATCTTTTGAGATACTGGTGTTTATATATCACAGGTTTCACCTTGTTTTTCTCAAACCAAGATCGATTACCATCAGTAAATAGAGCTTACCGTCACTCGGCCAAACAGTAGGCCATTAGGTTCAGTAAAATTCTGCACTTCTTAGGAATACATGCATCTATAAGCATATATCATGGTCGTACACACACACACACACACACACAAACACACATATACACACACACACGCATGCACGCACACATACACATACGTACACACGCACTCACATACCCGTGTGCACACATCTAAATCTGTATCTATATTGATCTATCTATCATCTATCTCTATCTATAACTCTATCTAACTTATCTAATTACAATAATAGTCAAGTTGATCATGCTATTATTAATTATGCTAATCAACACCTCTAATAACACTTGTAGTACTAAGCAGCAACATGGTAATTAATGCTTCATCTTATGAGGAAGTTGATAATGGTAATCCTCTCCGCCGCGTTTTCCGTTTCTCCGCTTGGCCGCCTCATGCATATTTGATCACGTGACCTCTGTGGATATATTCCTGTGGAATTTCTCCGGTTCTGCGTCCGTCGGTCTCTTTGATATATCGTTGTCATTTCTTGACTGTGTTTCATATATATATATATATATATATATATATATATATATACACATACACACACACACACACACACACACACACACACACACACACACACACACACACACACACACACACAACACACACACACACATATATATATATATATATATATACGATATATATATATGCATATATATGGGGCGGGTGAGCATGATATATTATATATATATATATATATATATAATATATATATATATATATATATATATATATATATATATATATATATATATATATATATATATATATATATAAGTATGTATGTATGTGTATATTAATATACATATATATACATATAGAGAGAGATAGACAGATATATAAATAGATAAATAGACAGACAGATAGATAAGACCGATAGATAGGTAGACAGAGAGATAGATAAATAAACGAAACGATACATTTTCTTCAACACTAGCATTTTCGTAGTCTAGGTTGGTGTTTCGTTTCAAATAATATATTCAACGGACATATATTGTCTCATGCTGTGAATTCATGTAGTGTATATTATAGTTCACCAGTAATTTATTTATCTGCTAATTCTTCCTATATTTGTTGGATCATATTAAAGAATACAATTGATTAATTTATATATATGTTGTTGGGTTATACAGACCTATTGTGCTATCACAAGCAAGGAGGAGAAATAAGTGTCTGACTGCGGACCCCCTATCAAAGGAGAATGATTAATGGTTAATGAAAAAATCGATGATACTGAAACCCAATTTACCGATTTTATCAAACAATCTAAATGAGGCTTCTTTTAATTTTTACCATTTTCTTTATTTCCTTCGCCCTTTTTCCCCTCTTCCCTCTCCACTCCCGCCATTTCCCCCTTCCCTTTCCTTAGAAATTGAAAATACGAAGATTAAGGTAATCTAGCCTCTGTTGTATTTTTTAATTATCATAGATACTGCACTTTAAGGTCAAGTTTAAAACAAGTA